ATAAAATGTGAATCATTGCTAGGCCATAGATTTAATCTCAATTGTAGACCCTGAAGAAGTTTTTGAAATATAAATGGTTATTTTTGTTTATTAAAAAACACGTCTTCAGTATGAGTGAATTATTTCTGGAAATTAGTAAGCTCTTACCAATTATAACATTTTGATTGATCATCTTTCAAACAGATGTTTAACAACTTAAAATTTATCTCTTATGCTTAAGTGACTACCAAATCACTACATTTAGCACATTCCACAGAAAATAGATATTTCAATTCCTCACTGATTTTTCTCAAAACTCTACATTTTGGTAAAATTCATAGCCCTGTATAAAAGCTAATAAAAGTATGATCCTATCCATTTTGGCCCTATTTAATGGAATGTATCAAAGAAGAAATGACATAACTTTATTATTGTCAATGCTGGAAGAAGATATTCCTTACATTTTACAATTTAAATTTACAGTTTATAATTTAATTCACTGAAAATTATTGGGAAGTTCAATCCATTTACCATTCTGCTACTAGACACAATGTAATTTTTACATTTTGAAACTATTTTATTGCTACTAGATTTTTCAAGAGCTTCATTAGTACAAGTAGTTATTAAGCTCTAGAATTTGAATTTGACCTTTTAAATAACCCAAACAGATCGTCTGTCTAAACCTCTTCAATGGGTGGGGTTTTTGTTGTTGTTGTTTTGTTTTGTTTTGTTTCACAATAGCAGTTTGCCTGTAGGGTGACATGTGACCTTTCTGCCAAGACACCAAGGATAGAGATGACCAGGAGTTTGCTCTCTACTCTGGGCTCACCTCCAGTCAGCTGGGCTTGGTGCCCTTTCCTATCTTTGCAAATCAGCCTCTGAATATTTCCCTAACAACACTTGCCAGGAACTGTTATGACTGTTACTCACTGTTAATATATTTTCTCTTAGACTGTGGGCTCTGTGAGTGTAGGGAATGCATCTATATTTCTATCACTCATGTGTAACATCTGGAAGTGGTAGGAAGTTTTAAACAGATATGTAAATAAAACTATTTCCCCACCTGGTCTTGAAAAAGAGCGTCTCATAGGTATAGGCACTAACTCTATGAAGCTCTTCAGATGTTTAAATAATGAAGATATGAATTGTTCATTGCTTGCTTTTTTAGAGACTGGTTGAATGTAAGAGTTAGAAAATGATTGATAAAGTTTGTAGCCACTGTTTCCTGAGATGAGGCCCAAGGAGTCCTGGTGACCTGAGAAGAGACAGATTTTGAATACATTGCAGCCTGACATGGGCTCTGGTGCAAATGCAGCACTAATGGTTTAAGTGTGAAACAGAGTATCTTTAAAAACCTTTATGACCTTATGTTGTATCAAACTCATTCCTGCCCCATATAGACACCCACAGGACTCAATCCAGTGTTTGGAAAATGTGTAACTTTAAAGAAACTCTTTGGAGTATTGGTTTCAGGCCAGACTTTGCTAAATCAAAGAGTGCCAGTTTCCTTCATGCCAAACAGCACAATAAACCCCTCTGCAAAAGGAATAAAGACTGCTGAGAAATAACTGATGAGGGTTTTAATGTCAATAAATGTCATTTTGTGCATCAGTATTGTGAGAGTTTCCTTTTCACAAATGGAAGAGGGATTTTATAAACTCTCCTGTGAAAGGATAGGGATTTAGAGTTGGCGTTAGTAGACCCTGTAATAAAACAAATCCCTTCTTCAAGTCCCCCTTGAAGTGAAGAATGGCACTTGAACTTTTCATTTGGTAATATGTGGATTATAGATATCCCTCTTACCACTAAGGTGTGTGTCATCTTCTTTGCTATCTTCGTAAATATCCTACTGGGAGCTAGAGGAAGTGGAGAAGAATTGAGAAATAGCCTTTTGGCTTCATTAGATCTTGCTTGATTAAAGTTTTGGAAGGTGCTGTGAAAATACATTTAGTTTTCTGACAATCTTGTAAATGAAGCTCAACAAGTATGCACCAGAGTACTGAGCAGATACTTGGGAGGAAGCTTTTACACAGCTGACAGGTCCCGCTAATGAATCCTGGACTGGCACAATATTTAATTTGGCGTTTCCTTACATACAGCAGGTAAGAATCAGCCAATAGCATGAGGTCAGAGATGTCATTTATTTGGCATATTGTGTTCGTTAGAGTTTGTGACATATTCTAGCTTAAAATATTATGCTATTCAATGTATATGTATTTATAAAAATCATTGGGCCATCTCTTGCAGGATTAGAATGTTAAATAGTGTTTGTGAAAGAGAAAAATGTGCTTGTAATTTCATTAATTGTTTGGCTAAGTCTTCTTCCCTTTTTTTATTTTTTAACTGTAAAATTTCTACACTGGAAATGACTTTAGTTAGCTTCCTATGTGGCTGCCAAAACCAAATAATCACATTAAACTCAAAGCGTATTCTTTTATATATTCAAAGAACATAAAGAACACGAAGAACACAGACCTGAGTTTCTTTATGAATAAAACTGTCACTATAAGAATGACTATAATGATACTAGGTTTATAAATAATAGGAAAAAATTATAAATAGTACCATATATTTAAGGAAGAGTTTATACATTTGTGTATACATTAATTTAACAGTTTGATCTTCTGGGTTTCCAGGGACTAAAGCTATACATAGCAACAAAACAATCTTATGGAAATAATTTCCCCAATTAATTTACATAGTTTAATTAATGTGCATAATTTACATAATTATTTTCATCTACATGAAAATTAAGACTTAAACATTATAACTTGAATAATTTGTTAGCCAAATCATTCAAATATTAAAATATATGGTATTCAAAATAGCAAATACGTTAATTAACCCCTGTCTTTCTACAGAGCTTTAAGTGTGAGATCTTGGAGGAAAACTCTGCTCCCCAAAACCCAAGATCTACATCATACCAGAGAATCATATATGTCCTTTCCTCACTATTGAGAAAGAAAAAATAATATTTACATACTTACACCTAAAAGACATAAGCCCAGAAATTCAAGGAGTGATTACAATATTGATTAACCACCAAATTACTCTTAGTTATTTTTTACTTCCACATTAACTAAGTTTGAAATGTAAGAGTTTTAACTTTTAAAACATGCATATTTCAGTGTTTGCTAATATTTTCTTATTTGGGTATGATTATCAGGTTTTCCATTATACCTAATTAAAAATACATAAAATACATTCAGGGAGTCCTCTTTTCCACTTATGTAAAATATCTTTCTCTATTTTCTATATCTTTTGTGGTCCAATTTTGTGACATGAGTTTCATTACAAAAGATTTGCTTTTTGAATTTTATTATCAGCATAAATTTTATTTATAACCAGCACTTCCTTTAAGTAATTATAATGATGCGATCAATGTGATTACTTTTGAATGCTTTCAAAATATTTATAACACCAGTTGCATTCTTCCTACCAAGAAGGTGATAGGAAGCTCGTCCTGATTTTTGGCTCTATAGGCATGGCTACCAGATCTTGTTAAGTGAATTTGTCTGAAGTAAACTCTAGTTTAATGAGAATGAAGTATCCCGGAGTACTATTCATGTTTTCCTTTTGATGCCATTTTTAGACAATTAGGGGAAGTTGGAGATTTATAATCAGGGTACAGAATGGTTCACAATGCCATGTGGCTATAAGAATGCACATGGCTACTGTCTTAAGACACTGCTGTAGGCCTTAAGATACATTTTTTACATACTCTAAATTATTATAAACAACAATCATGTAAAAAGATCAGCTGTCATTTTATACAGAAGGAAATTTAGACTCACACTAAGTCCAACAAACAGTAAGTGTCAAAGTTCCACAAAGTCTAGATGTTAAATCTTTCAATCTCCAAGGTCTTTGTTTTTTTAACTATGATATCACAATGTAGCTTTCTAGAGAAACTAAATTAATATATAATAAAATATAATGTTACAACAATAGAGCATTATCAGAGTTTTGCTTTTTAACAAACATCTCAAAAATAAAAGAAACGTGTTTTTCTCAATATATACTAGCTAGAACCCCATGGGAGGCTAAAAACTTTTTCTAATAATGGCTTATGCACTAAAAACATTTTGGGAATTCTTATTTTGGAATTGCCTTAAAAGCCTATGGCATTTTCTTTTAAACTCAATGCTTTCAAATCTTGATTTCTAAAGTGTAAATTTGATTTTTTTGGCATAATCAAAAGACTTATAGAGGTCAGATTTGTGAATGAAGTGATGGATTAAATTTGTTATTTTGGTTTTGATGTTTAAATTTTGGAACAGATTTTAAGTGATAGGCTGTGTCTAAAAGTAACTCTAAGAGAAATATTTAAAAATAGTTTTCTTAATAGCACCAATAGAAAGTCTGCTATTTATGTCTACATTAAAGAATAGCTTCATTTGGGTTCTTTAGGACCAGAAGAATCATCCACGGTTTATCCACAGTATATATACACACATACACACACACACATACTGACATATATTATATATATAAAACAGGTTTTATATTTGAGTATATATAAGACTATGCCTAACATATGCTTTATATCAAAATGTGTGTAACATATGCAGAGATAGACATGCTAACATGTTGTGTATTCCAATTTTATGAAATACAAATGTGGCAATTTCAATTTAAATCATGTAGCTAACCTGTGTAACTTAGATGTTACCTAGACTTCTCCCAAAGGAATGACTTATGTTCCTTAGTGAATGGATATGAAGTGACATTTGAGAAGGTCTAGTTGCCAGCCTACTTCTGAGGAGATCTAGCCTGGCTGTCCACATCACCGAAGCAGTCACCACTGTTTGAAAATGAATCAGACTACACTGCCCCTTTATACCTTTAAATACAAATCCTGCAGCCCATTAGCTCACCCACTTCCCTTCCCAAGTTCATAAGCCAGGTGCCCGCCCCAACACCCCCCCCCCAAAATTTTTTTAAACCTATTTAGTTCAAATAGGGTAAGAATAATTTTAAAATAAGTTTACCTATGGAAATTACTTTTTTTCCCAAGTTCACATCAGATGGGTAATGTGCCGAGGTCATTACAAGGTTTGAGGGAAGCACATGTCATACAACAGGGTGAACACCCAATCTTCATGCTTATGAACTGTAAAAGGATCCTGCGATTTACTCTTGTTAGTAATTTCCTATCTCTTCCCTCCTCTCTTCCTCTCTCCTTTCACCCTTGAGTCCCACTGTCCTCAAAACAAAAGTAAAGAAGAAATGTGTGGTGGTGGGACAGTGAGTCCTTATAAGAGGAAGGCTAAATTGGAAATAGCTTATAAAGAACCAAAACCCATCTCAAACTATCAGTTTAATTTTATAATTATGTTGCAGTATCATTAAAGAAGCTTGGTTATTACCATCAAGATTTCTTTTCTGGTTTACAAGGTGAGGGGTTAATGACTCATTTACTGAGGTATGCAGTTTTCTTTCATTTTTCACTTACAATTATCTTCACTTGTTTTAAAATGTAATGCAGTCTCCAAAATGTATTGTAGTTCTTCATTATTTCTGTCAATTAAACTTTCTAAATCATAGCTTTAAAATGAATCACAAATAAGAATTAATAGATTTCAATTGCTGAATGCCCACTTCCTGGACGAAATGAATGGGGCAGATTTACTTTTGAAAATCTGCTTTCCATAGCAGCTGGAGCATGAGGGCACAGCAGATGTTAGTCTCTAAAAAGCTAGTATTCACTTTGGAAATGGACTCTGGATGTCGGTGTTGTCTTTCTCCATGGAATGATGTTTGTTGATAGAGCAATGTTGATGCTAATATATTTTTGGCTGAAGTAATGGTTACTTTACAGAGCATCTGTGTTCTGTAAGCACTTCAGTGAGATGCCTAGGTTGCCTGATATCTTAAGGCAAAGTGATGATGTAAACAGACTGTAAACTTCCTTCAAGGTTTTCATAGGTAGATCCAATTTTATATAGATAACATAAAACCAAGTGTCCTTAAATCTAGTCTAAAAAAATACAATGTTCTCTACAAGGAGACATAATGTCTACAAATGTAGAAAATCTCAGTCTTAATCACTGGGGGTAACATTGTACTCATTTGCATTGTTTATGAAATTAAAGTCAACATTTTTTTTTTTTTTTTAATGTAGGCTGCATTAGTTCTCTTGTTCACCAGACTTCATGATAATTGACATCTCTCTAACACTTATAATCCAGGTTACTATCTCGGGAGTGGTGGTATAATGAGGTTGTTGCCATAGAAACTTTGCAATCATTGACGCACTTTTACTATTGGAACTTAAATGCTATGGCAAATTTAGAATTTTAAATCATTTAGAAACAGAACAAATTCTGTGGGGATAGTGTATTATTCTTTTATCTGAAATAAACCACTTAGGGAACTAATTATTTTGAAAATTGAGGAAAGGTGCTTATTAGCACAATGGTACCATTTAAGATCTAAGGCTAAGAGAAGAATTTGGTCTAGCCAATGCAATTTGCCAATATAAATTTAGTGTCAGAAAATCCCAATGAACGTCAGTTTGATTTGGGATTGTTAATACTCAAAATAGCATGGAAGGGGGGCACCTGGGTGGCTCAGTCAGTTAAGCATCCGACTTAAGCTCGGGTCATGGTCTTATGGTTCATGGGTTCAAGCCCCATATTGGGCTCTGTGCTGATAACTCAGAGCCTGGAGCCAGCTTCAGATTCTGTGTCTCCTTCTCTCTGCCCCTCCCCTGCTCACGCTCTGTCTCTCTGCCTCTCAAAAATAAACAAAAACATTTTAAAAATTAAAAAAAATAGCATGAAAGGTGTTTGTACACACGGAATAAATAAACTTGCTAAGGAAATCTAGAAATCATAGATTGCCTGTCTTTAAACTATCAATTAATTATTAAATTTCTGTTTGAGATTTAAGCAGAAAACATTTTATCCTCCAAATCATGTTAATATTATAATCATATCTGCCTATTCTGTTAAATATGGGCTTTAGAATAAAATGGGTTTTATTGCGTTATTGAACTATACTTATAGTCATCATTCTAAAATGCTGTTGCCAATTAGATTATAAACCCTTTGAAGGTAAAGCCCACTGGGATGGTGGCCATTAAAGGGAAAATGTAGATTAAATATCTCAGTAAGATCAAGGAACCCTGTTTCATCTGGTTTTGCACATGCATCACTGTTGAATATGAGTTTTCCACCATTATGGATTGTGGCATATGATAGAGGATTACAGTGATTGTATATTATGTACTGGATATCAGCTTGTGGTAGTCTCATTTTTATTCTATATGAATAATGTTTCCAGGCAGAAATACACTAAGTTATTGCATGAGAGCTAGTTGCCTGTACATTTATTAAATAATCATCCATATGGCAAGAGTCAACACTATGTTTAGAGGAGAAAAGTGAGTTCTAATTAAGGAAGATCTACTTGAATTAACAAAAGTGAATTCCAACTTTTCAAATTATGTGTCTTTTGAAAATTATCAGTTGTGCAGCTTGGAGTACATTTCTATTTTGTTTTCTCATTTAGCCATGACTTAGTCCATTTAGATTGCTGAGAATAATATGAGGCCCCAAGTAAATTAAGGCTGACTTCACCTCAAGGTTGATTCTATAATTTCTTTCAATATGTTATTCATCTATTTAGTCTAGCTCTACTTCTACGAGTGATAATAACGTAAAGAGCATTTTTTTCTTTCTTTCACTAACTTTGTCCCTGTTAAAGACAATTTAGCCTTTTTAACTGTATAATTCAGATTTTGTTTGTTCTGTATTTAATCTTACAATGGGGTCTTAAAACTGGAAAATGAATACATATTTGAGTGTTTTTATGATAATAGTAAAACATGTTCTCTAAACTGAAAATAAATTAAATAACCATTTTAAGAGTCCTCAGATGGGCCAGTTTCCTGTAATATCTACTTCTAAGTAATTCTTAACCCTATGGAATATTGTCAGTAATTCAAATATTTTTTAAAATTCATCAATGCATGTTGAACTATTGGAAACATTTTCCTAAATGTTTACAAATGGAATTATTCTGTTACAGAGCATCAAAGAAGAAGCACATTTTCTAGATCTGACCTCAAGCAAATTTCCTTCTTTCTTTCCCTTTGCCAGGTTGGAGTTAATATAGTGGGGTAGAGGAATATAGGCAGAAGGAGAATATCTATGTTCTCTTGGTTTGCTGATAATCTTAGAGGACTGTGTGAGAGAGCAAGATTTTTTTATAGCTTGTACTTGTTCTTGCAAAACATTAAAATGTAGAGAGCTTAGGCAAGGAAAAATATTAGACTTTGATGCTCCATTTTCAGGGACTTGTAAAAAGAAAAAGTTACACCATGTGATTTGTTCTCATGACAAGATTGTAAAGAGAACAAGAAGTACAAAAACTCAATCTGTTGTTGTTACATTATTTACATTTGTACATGATGTCTTCTTTATCCTGAATGCCACATTTGAGTTCTTCAAAATGGTAATATAGAATCTTCATAAAGATTTACAGAGCCAACTTCAAACAACTAACTTCTTAATTTAATGGTAATTGTATGGTTTAAAAATGTACTTTCTTTTTGTAGCATATTTTTTTTCAATAGATAGCTCTGTGTATGCTGACATTAAATCATTTTGATGTCCTTCAAAATGCATCTAGCTTACTTAAGTTTTGAAATGTGGAGATCTATTTGGCTCTACATTCAGTAACTTTAAAATTGAAAAATACCAGATATGATTTTCCAAATAATTTTTCAAATCAGTAATCTGTCTTTCAAATGTTAATTGATGATCCCCAAGTCCAAATATTATGTGAAATTAAACTGTTGCCTTCCTTTTTGCACACGTGGTACATTGCAGAATAAAATGTGATGCTTTCTTTATAAATACGAATGAGCTCAAATGCCTTGCTCATGTTTGAAATGGGTCAAAAGCATTTGCATGAAACATCGTGGAGCCACATCATTTTAGGGAGAATGAAGAGCTTCAAAAAGAAGTTAAGTTCGCACTAATTATTTTTTCAAATAGATATGTTTGTAGGTTTTCCTATAAAATAGGTCCTGTTTGACACTATGAATAAGAGAGCATCTCTTCCCTCACAGTGTTACATTCTGGTAGAAGAAGTGCTAGCTTGAGAAGTTCCAGCTTTGTACTAGGCAAAATAGATACAGCAAGATTTTTGGGAAAAGATTTTTATAGTGATAATCACAGCAGGGTATGGACTAGGATAATCTAATGGTCTGTCTAAACATGCACGTAAGAAATTATAATGATCAATGATTGCATTGTCACTCCACCAAATTTATTTATTTATTTATTTATTTATTTATTTATTTATTTATTTATTTTAATTTTTTTTTTCAGCGTTTATTTATTTTTGGGACAGAGAGAGACAGAGCATGAACGGGGGAGGGGCAGAGAGAGAGGGAGACACAGAACTAGAAACAGGCTCCAGGCTCTGAGCCATCAGCCCAGAGCCCGACGCGGGGCTCGAACTCACGGACCGCGAGATCGTGACCTGGCTGAAGTCGGAGGCTTAACCGACTGCGCCACCCAGGCGCCCCTCCACCAAATTTTTTTAAAAAGACTTTACATCTGCTGCCTTATGTGACTTCACTCTGTGGAATAGTAACATAGAGCTCTTACATCTAAGAGTAAATTAGTTTAATACATTTAGTTTCATAGCCAGGAATCAGGTACTGAATTCTATGGTCAGGGACTTCTCTCCCATCACAGTATGAGGCTTATGGTTCATTTATTGGAACAAAAGGATTATACCATAAAGGTAATTGGTCACGGGCATAATTAATATCATATAAGATCAGAATTGGTACAAAAGGACCTTTATAGAGTACACATTATTTGGGGGTGATGTGAATAATGAAAATTATTGCTTTGCCTTGCTTATCAAATTATGTCTCGACATTCCACTTTCCCTGTGCTCTACTTAAATCTCCTAAGTGAGATTATTTTCTGAGTAAACACTCTCTGATATCTTGTCCTAGTGTGATACAGAACAAGGTTATGTTTTTCGATTACTCCATTACTATCCCAGAAAATTGGTAAATTTCTCCCATATTATCTTTTGCATAAAATAATAATTGACAGTGTCCCTGCCCTCTTATACAGGACAGTATGACTAGAACTC